GGGACTCTTCAGCAGCCGCCGCGGCTCGGATCCAAAGTATCTTCCAAAGTATTAGCGATTTCCCCCAGCTTTGCTTCATGAGCAAATTTGATGAGTGCTCCTTCAGTCCCCTCATCCACATCATTGATGAAGATGTTGAAGAGCACTGGGCCCAAGACAGAACCTTCAGGGACCCCACTGAACACTTTGCTCCACGTAGATGTGGTTCCATTGCGACTGGTCAGCCAGCTGCAAATCCATCTGGTAGTTGCACTGTCTATCCCACTTTGTTCTATCTCATGCAGAAGTAGGTTGTTGCCTACCTTATCAAATGCCTTGCTGAAGTCTAAGTATACTATATCCACTCTGTTTCCTTGGTCCACTAATTTAATCACTTTATCAAAAAAGGCAATCAGATTTGTTTGGCATCTCCTTTCTTAAACCCATCCTGGCTTCTAGTAATCATGTTGTTATTTTCTAGGTGCTCACAAATCTGTTGCTTCATTATTTTTTCCTGGATTTTCCCAGATATTAATATCAAGCTGATTGGTCAGTAGTTTCCTGGATCCACTTTTATTTCCTTTTTGAAGACTGGAACCACATCAGCTCTTTTCCGGTCCTCTGGCAGTTTGCCCATGCTCCAGGACCTCTCAAAGTTTTCATTCAGTGGTTTTGAGATTACATCTGCCAGTTCTTTTAGTACCCTGGGATGTAAACCATCTGGTCCAAGAGGCGTGAACTCACTTACGAGGGATCGTATCTGCTGATTTACTTATTCACTACTTAAAAATACTAAATGCATTTTTAAGTAGTGAATAACATCCCCCCCAATATGTATGTATAAATATTTTCAAGGTATACGTACCAGAACTGACCACTAGGAGGAATATATAGAGGAATATATATTAGATACTTCAGCGTTTTTTTGCATCCATGCGGGAAGGCAGTGTGGAAGTGAGTCCCCGCAGATACCGTGGTCCTAATGAATTAGTCAAGCCTGACCTCCAGATATCATCCACTATTGTTATAGAACAGGATGATATGAAAGTAATAATGCACTTAGTATCCTCTACTTATTTTTTTAAATATATATTATTTTTTATTACACATATAGACTTACAAAACTAAACAGAAAACACACAAAAAAGCAAAAACAATAAAAAAGCAAAAAAACCCACAAAACCCCATATAAAGGCAGGGTGGAAGCATTTCCATACTGTATTACTCATTATATAAATCTGACTGCATCAACCTTATTGCTCTTAAAGAGTTATTTCAAATATAATCCGTCCTAAGGTTATAATAATTCT